AAGCTTACCGCTACAGCCTCGATCTTCAGGTCGTCTTCACTACTGGGTTCAGTGAGCTCCAGAAGCACAGGGCAGACCTTTCCTTCCATATCTGGTTTACTCATCAAACCTTGTTCAAGTAGTATCAGCAAAGCAGCCTGGCTCGTCTTTCGAACCTAAGGAAAAACAAAGACAGATTTTAACAACAATGAGGTATTAGGATCTATAATAAGTTTAACCACTTTAATATTGTCTTCAGATTATGAATAATAAAGTGAACATAGCTTAAGTGATCTGATAGTTGTTGTGAAATGTACAGTTTATTACAAAAGAGGTATGATCTGTTGGTAGTACAGAATCATTACACAATAGGAAGGTTTAGAAATTCAACCCTAAAGTTTTCAGCATGTCAACAGTAAAGGATTAAGCAAAGTATGATGTTTGCAAAAAAATGTTTCTCAGCATTTTTGAATGTTCCTCTTTAAAGCACTTTCAATCGAAAACACTAACCAAACTTAATAAGCTGTATTCTTCTATCTCTCCTTTGTGTGACCTATGGTCATATATTCTGGTTTTGTCCAGAAGCATCTGAAATTTGGAAAAGTATCTTCAGACTTTATTCTCAGGCTTTCAAAAAAGTCATTAAAACTTATGTGGAATTAGCATTGTTTGAATAAGACTCTAACTTGGCCAAAAAATCAACAACCCTCTCTTATGTTTGGCATGGTGCTACCAAAGAGAGTGATTCTGATGGAGATGAAATCCACCACACCTCTTATTTTTTTTTTTTAATGGTTAGCTGAAATGGTTTCTGCCCTCAAGCTGAAAAGATTACTTTTCTAGATTTGGCAAACAGAAGATTCATGACAATATGTGGGGCCCCTTCCTCAGATGGATCCATTTACAAGGCTCTGTAATTTTTTTTTCTGTGATATTTTATTTTCTCCTGCCATTTTACATGTCTACTATTTTGCTTAATATTCCAATATTCTGGCTGAGATTCTTTTGATGATGCTGTATAATTGCTGTTTTGTTTGCCATTGTTTTGGTGCATGTTCTGGGTGGTATCAGGTAATAACACCGAGATAATGTATATTTGTTAATAAAAATTATGTACGCTATTGAGTGTAATGTTTTCATAAACAAATTTAAAAAATAAAGTAAAAAAAAACACTAAAGCTCAAGCATTCTTGAACTAAAAAAAGGCAAATAATTAAACTTTAAAATAAAAATGTATTTTATTTACATTTATTGATGTTTTAATGCCATGTTAATGCCATTCCAATGCCATTTGGAAAAGTGGCAGAAGGCAGATTTTTCTGATGGATCATCTGTTAAACTGCATCCCAATTATCACAAATACTGCAGAAGACCTACTAGAACCAGCATGGACCCAAGATTCTTACAGAAATCAGCAAGTTTGGAGAAGGAAAAATCATGGTTTGGGGTTACATTCGATATGGGGACGTGCGAGAGATCTGCAGAGAGGATGGCAACATCAACAGCCTGAGGTATCAAGACATTTGTGCTGCCCATTACATTACAAACCACAAAAGATGGCAAATTCTTCAGCAGGACAGGGCTCCTGCTCATGCTTCAGCTTCCACATCAAAGTTCCTGAAAGCTAAGAAGGTAAAGGTGCTCCAGGATTGTCCAGCCCAGTCACCAGACATGAACATTATTGAGCACGTCTAGGGTAAGATGAAGGAGGAGGTATTGAAGATGAATACAAAGAACCTTGATGAACTTTGGGAGTCCTACAAGAATGTTCTTTGCTATTCCATATTGTTATTTATTAAGTTATTAGAGTCATTGCAGAGATGTATGGATGCAGTCCTCCAAGCTCATGGGAGTCAGACACAATATTAATTCTGTTTCCACTGCACCATGACTTTATATTCTATACTGTACATTATTTCTGTTAAGTGACAAGACTTTTGTCTAAACAAAGTCAGATCTTACTGTCTTAATTTAATAATTAAAAATCAAGGCATGATCATATTTTATTTTGGTAAAATAAGCGTAATCTAGAGGCCTTTGCCTTTCATATTAGCCACTTCTGATACACAATGACCAACCTAAAACTTGGATAGGCGACAAGCCTTTTGTCAGGTAGTGTGTATTATATTATACACTATATCATTTATTCAATAGACATTTTACAAACATAGGTTTCTTAATAAACATTATACAAAAAAAAAAAATACAGACAACAACAATACTGACAAATAAATAAACAAAAAAAAAATCTGTAATTATTTCATCCATTAGGAAGAACATCTCACAGGACAAATATTTTTGCTAAATAAAACTCACTTGATTATTAGGATCTGTAAGATAGCGGACCACTATGGGAACCAGGTACCGTGAGAAAGCTTCTGGGAAATTGGGGCGATTTTCATGGAGGAACATGGCAATGTTTGGCACCTGTTCCATTAGCTCTGCTCGCACTGTCGGTTCTGTAACATCGCATTACATTTATGACATTACACAGAGTTCCACCATACGGAATCAAGTCAAATAAAGTCTAAAGCCATACAAACCTCCATCCTCAGACATCCTGGCAACCGTTTCCATGACACTGATGAAGTCATTTTCATTAGCACTGAACTCCCGGAGAACATCCAGCAATCCACGAGCCACAATTTGCCTGAAAATACATAAAGCATACAATAACATTAGAATTTACCACAAAATTGTCTAAACGCAATATTTCCAACAAATTTCAAGCTATAATATCAGTAATAACATAAGAAGCTTTAAGTATGAGCCAAATTCTTCTGCAATGACAATTTTGGCTCCTTACAGCTATTTCTGGTCTAACTTAATATCAGGTGTACTTTAAGCCTTTACATTTTGAAACTCATGTTCCACCATTGTGCCATAAAAGTTCTTCTGTATCGATTCACACTGGAATTCAAGTGATAGTTACATTATGGACATCTTACACTACTCCTAAAAAAACACCAAGTATTGCATGACAGAGGAAAACACAGAGGTCTCACATAACACGTCTCACAGTTACTGGTTTCACACTGCAGAGCTTCACATCTCACCTGTTGAAGACGTTTTCACTGAAAGCATATTTCTCCAGCCGGCCCAGAGGGGTGAGATTATCCTGGCCTGCATCCAGGAATGCTGTTATCCGAATCCCTTCACACTCCGAACCATAGTCATCGAATCCAACTGCAAGACAGACCCATAGGGACAGTTAATGGTCAAGTATACAAGTTAACATGCAGTGTATTGGTCCTATCAAATGACAAATCAGTTAAATTGAACTAGAAATCCACTCTAATGAAAAGAGAAATGGTTTATTTTTTGTAGAAAGAACAGTAAATCAATTTTTATTTCATTCAATAAACTTCTGCCTGCAAAGATGGTTACACTTTAGCTGTCTGTAGAATAACTAGGAAAGATTGTTAAGTGCAATAACAAGTCTTGTTCGGCTTTCTTGATTTTTTTGGTCAAGAGAACAGGGATTCCCAAACTTTTCAGCCTGTGACCCCCTAAATAACAATGCCAGTGACTCGTGACCTTAATATCCTCTGAGGTGATAATAAAAATATCTAGCAAGCATTTTTTGTTTTTAAAAGATGTCTAAACATAGTTGTCTTGGCTAAAACGAGGCTAAATTTGGGCTTTCAGTGAAGACGTCTAAAAAAAGGCCAAGACTAGACTAGACTAGTCATCAAATAAACAGAAATAAATGACTACACATTTAAAGTCCGTCTAATCTGTCTATTTGACGACTAGTCTAGTTTTGAGCTATTCTTAGATGTCTATTAGAATTTCACTGACAGCCTAAGTTTAGTTATTAGTCGTCTATTAAACACAAAATTGTTTGCTGGGCATAAACCCTGCACAGAACGGAGCTATTCATTGTTTAATTTTGGAGAACACCACTCAGAGAACATCCTCCATGTTTAATTGTGGCCTGTATTTTTTTTTTATGTATGCGATTGCCGTAACGGTGTCAGAAAGTAGAAGCTGGTGCTTTAAAATGTGCTGTATCTGATATTTTAATATAACGTACTAAAAGGGGTTGCAAAAAAAAATACTATTAATATTTAAAAGGCTGATGGCATTTTATTTGCATGTTGTTTTACTAATGTGTCAATTAACTACTATTTCTTCTTCTGTATGCTATGGATAAACTATGGTATTTCTTATAGTTTAATAAAATGAATTAGATTTTTGGCCCCCATCTCCCCTCATTGTCCCATGACCCCCACTTTGGGAACCACTGGTCTAGATCAAAACAAGAAAAATTAAACATTTGGTCCTGGATCTTTCAGCTGTCATTTTAAACATGAAACCTAAAAATGGAGGGGAAAATGCGTTTCCAATGTCTGTGTTGAATTTAATTGGGCAAAATGCCACATCAGCAACATTGACTCTTCATGGCAATACTTGTACTAAATATTCAATATGTGATTTGCAATTATAACGGTTTCTTAATCATTCGTTCATTGTCCAAAAATATATACAAATAACAACATTGATAAAAAGTCTTAAAGTTGTTTCAGTTTGATCAATGGTAAAAATTCTTTCAGAAAACCCCTTTTAAACATTTCCCGAATAAAAACATTTCCTAATATCACCAACAAATCTACCATTAATTAAAGTATGTTTTCAACACTGCAACTATCATGAGACAAAAACAGATATGCTTAAGTCATGTCCTGTTTTTGTTCCTTTAGCTGACTTTGGTTCATGTTTCATTCATATTTCAGTTCACCACTGTTTGTTTGAAAGCAGACTCATTTCTTAAAAGTATTTTTCTGTCAGTGTTTTGATGTGCACCAGTTCAGATGGCAGTGTTTATATTTAATCACAACAGATGAACTAAACATTGCACGAGAGTTTCTATTAGTTAAATCAAAACCTACAGTGTGAACAAACCCTTAAAATCATTGAAAGATCATATTATAAAGTCAATTAAACAAACATTAATATTTTAGGGGTAAAAAATGAACATTTTCACCACAATTAAGCAAATATTCTTTTCTCTGGTTTTTATTTAAGAAAAAAAACATTTCTGTTAACGTAATTTCTCAAAGGTTTTTTCTATTCAAATCAGTATTTCGACAGTACAGCAAATATTACCATGACAAAAGTATTGTGAAATAATGTCTTTTGCACTATATTTTGTATTTATAAATGCATTACAATTGCTTGAGTTTAATAATCAAAGTAATTTTTACTTTTAATCAATATTTGAGGATAAATAAAACTTTCCTAAAAGGTCATATAAGATTAACAAATCCATATATAAGATTCGCACTGATAAAATTTGCTGAAGAGTTCTGTATACTCACAGTCATCCAAATCATCATGACCATCTTCAAAATATAAAGACAGACCTGGGGAAACAAACACAACATTTCAAATCAAAGGCTGACTTGTGAAAAGTGTTTAAGAAGATAAACTGTCAGTTTAAAGTCATGCTGGCATCTGTCACATAAAGTTGGGTTGTGTCTTTTACAACCCAGTCCTAGCTAAGCTACCAAGCTGGACAGCATTTTAGGCCTTTAACTTAAAAAAAAACACTCATAATGTCCAAAAACTGCTGTTTATTTTCGTAAGATAGTATGCTAGCTTATATGACACAGGCTTAACATGTATCACAATGTTAGTTTACTCTATATCTCACTTGTCAACTGAGGGTAACTTTAAATGACTACATGACATTGCGTGCTAAACAGTAAGTTACTAGGGCACGGTGTGTGTGAAACACTTTATGTTGTAGTGTAAAAGTGCATACAGGCTGTACTTAAAGTATGACACGTATTTTGTACGTTTTAAAGGTTATAAGCTAATGTTATCCAAGCGTGTTAACCGGAATCGACCCCGGTGGTCAGGCTGGCTAACAAACTGACAGTCAAGCTCCAGTCAACTAAACTACATTGGTATGTACTATTTAATTCAAAGTACAACATAATTTCCACCATAAATTATTTAATACATCACATATTACCTTGTTGGCTAAACCTAGCTGTTTATTACAGTAAGGTTACTTTTTATAATACCCCAGGATGTTACCGTTAGCTCCCCAACTCGCAACTAGTGTTAATCCACTTAAAATTTCCCCAGGCAGGGACCTTTGTTCTTACAACATCAGAAATGTAAAAATGGTATAAAAAATTATTAAAGTCAACAGTGATAACATAGCAGATTCTCTTTAAACCGCCTCATAAAGCTTTAAATAAACATACTAAAGCACGTTACCTGCCATCTTGATTTACAGCGGCGCTGTCACTCCACTTCCTCAAAAGATTTCCTGCTCTTATTTCAATCCCGGCATCTATGTGAAGATCGAGTACATATAAAACAAAGAGGAAGTCAACGAAACAAAGCACTTTATAGCGAGTAAATAGCGCAAATTCCCGTATCACTCAACCGAACGCTCGGTGAGGAAAAAAATAAGACAATGTCGGTCACGTGACTAGTCTACAGACGTCCGATTCGTGAATGAGTTGTTCACATGAGTCGGATCTTTTCCGGGAATCAATTGAACCGTCTCACAGAAAAGAACTGAATGGTTCTTTCATGAATGGTTCTTCAAAAATGTATTTATTGTACTATTTCAGCTCAAACCGTGGTATTTGGTTATACATAACAAGCCAAAAATAGCAACTGACACTTTAAGAGATAAAAAGCAATCACAGCGGCTCTTTATACTGATACTCAGTGGTGTAAATTACAAATACTCAAATTACTGTATTCGAATAGTTTTTCTCAGGTATTGTAATTTACCAGGTAGTTATTAAAATGTGTACTTTTACTTTCACTTGAGTATATTTTAGTGCTGTATCGGCACTTCGCTATTTTCCTTCAACTTGCATTCTCTACATTAGTTTTTCTTGTCAATGGGGAGTGGCTGAATAGAAAAGGGGCCCTTTAGAAATGCACCATTTGGAAGCATTAAAAGTGTCCAAGAAGATGTGCAAATCTTTACACGCAATGACCCAGAGACTGTTTGACTGCGCATCACTGATGAGAAGATGGCGGATACTTACTGTATGATGACTGAAATCGCCAAACGGCCTTTAATAATCACTAAATGCACTACAGGATGTTACGTTTACATCCACACAAATGCACAAATTGCATGTAAACGCATCAGCTTTTCACAATGTGATACTCAATGGATACTCACTGCTTTTGAGTACTTTTGAAAGGGCTTTTATTTATACTTAAACTAATGTTTACAACCAGCGGTGTAACTAATTACAAACACTCAAATTAAAGCAATCGAGTAGTTTGTCTCAGGAATTGTTATTTACTAAATAGTTTTATAAATGTGTACTTTTACTTCCCCTTGAGTACATTTTTAGTGCTGTATCGGTACTTTTACTTCACTACTTTTCTTTCAACCTGCAGTCACTACTTTATTTTTTCTTGTCTATGGGGATTAGAAAGTTTAGTCCTTTGTTTCCTGTCCAATCAAATCACACATAGAAGGTAAATCACATCATACTAAACCACCTCAAGACATGGGCGATTTATAATTGCAGCAAACTATTTGGAAGCATTAAAAGTGTACGAGAAGATGTCCAAAATCTTTACACACAATGACCCTGAGACTGTTTAGATGCACTGATGAGAAGATGACGGATGTTTACTGTATGATGACCAAAATGGCCTTAAACAGCCAGCAAGCACAAGAGGTCAACATGACATGTCATTGGGACTTTGCATTTTGTTTGAACATAAAAATCATGTTGACGTCAAAACTCAACATCAGGTCATTGTCCAACCTAACCAAGTATCAACGTTTAATGATGTTACAGCTTGACGTTGTGTGGACATTACCACAATGTCTATCAGGTGTTGGATTTTGGCTGCCATACCTGACGAATAAATGTCAGTATTTGATGTCAATACGACCTTGGTTTAAGATGTTGAATTGGCGTTGGATTTTGGTCAGTTTATATCATAAAATAAAATCGACCAAATATCAACATCATTTGATGTCATTATTAGACGTCAAAATAATGTTGTCCTTGTGACATTGTGTGCCTGCTGGGCAATAAGTAAATGCACTACAGAATGTTACGTTTACACACATTCACAAATTACATGTAAATGCATCTGCTTTTCACAGGGTAATACTTACTACTCACTACTCTTGAGTACTTTTGAATAGGCTACTTTTTACTCATACTTTAAGTAATATTTACAACAGATACTTTTACTTTACTTGTGCTACATTTTTGGGCAAGTAATGGTACTTTTACTATGATTTTTCAGTACTCTTTCCACTACTGCTCATACTTTATTCATTGAAGTTATATTAACTGACAAGATCGGTTTGTGCAAGCAGCTGAATTCACATTCAAAAAGGAATTGGCAGCATATGTTTATACTGAATGATGCACTTTGTGTGACTGTGGAAAGTTAACAAACAGCATCAGTTCATGTGTGAGTTTGAGTCCATGTGTATTGCATACATATATGATTATTGTGAACATGCAGGATCCCTTGGCAAGGCTGTGAAGTTGAAAAGGTTGTAAATAACGTTCAACTCTCCAAAGGGTGCTAATCAATGACACACAGGTAGAGGTTGTGGAGGAATATAGGTATAGGAACAATTATGGACAACAGGTTGAAATTTGATCTAAATACACATACAATTGTTAATAAGGCTCATCAAAGACTGTTTTTATTGCTGAAACTCTTTGCTACATTAACTCTTTTAATGTAGAGAATGTTATTCTTAAGACATTTTACAATTCATTTATTGAAAGTATCTTGTCCTTTCCCTTTATTTGCTGGTTTTCTTCACTATCTATAAAAAACTAGAGTCGTCTTCAAGGCATCATGTGTTCAAAGATTTTGGGAGTTCCCCTGCAAAATCTTGCATACTATTACGAACAGCAGGTGTTGAGGGTGGCACATAAAATACTAGGAGACAGAGTCTATGCCCCTTGGTCGACGTCTAAGGACAATAAGATGTTCCACAAATCGTTATAAGTTTACTTTTGCGCTTGAAGCAATTAGGTTATATGTATAAGGTTAAATGTAGTTAATCAATTTGTGTACTTGTTGTTAAGTATTAATGTTTATTATGTTAAGTGTGTCATTTTTGTTATACTGTATGTGAAGCACCACCATGTCGAAATGAATTGCCCCCAGGGGATTAATAAAAAATAAATAAATAAATTCCACAGGTCAATTGTTTTGATTCATGAAACCTAATTTTATCATCAGACCATGCACTAATTCAATTTTGTAAATTTAGATTTGTTTGTAAAAGAGTTAGAAATTGTTTTTAAAGTAATCCTGCATTTCAGTAAGTAATATATATATATATATATATATATATATATATATATATATATATATATATATATATATATATATATATATATATATATATATATATATATAGAAAATTTTGGTTTAAAAATTTATTTAATTTATTAATTTATGTATATAAATTGTTGTTAATAAGGTAAGAAGATTAAGAAAATATATTTTCTTTTTATGTAAAGTTTCTGGTTTATAATTAACAAAATCAAACAAATTCTCAATTACAAAAAGAGAAGAAACTTTCCAAAGCAAGTTAGAATAACTGCATTGCCAAAGTAAGTGAACTACGAACTCAGAGTGTTGCTTGCAAAATGAACAATTAGTATCATTATCTTTTTTTATATCTTATGAAAGTATTCTCGGCATGAACGATGAATAGTTTTAAATAAAACTTCTCTTATCTTTCTGTCTAATAGTATTATTTGTATGTGATTTTTAGATATTTTTTCTTAAGACTATGTATATTATTGACCTTTTTAAAGATCAGTCTGTGATCCCTTGAACTTTGTTATGATGTTCTTGTATTTTCAGTGCAAGCAATAAATAAACAACCAAATAAATAAATAAATAAATAAATTTAAATTTAAATTTAATTAATTAATTAATTAATTAATTAATTAATTAATTAATTGCACTGAAAATACAAGAACATCATAACAAAGTTCAAGGGATCACAGACTGATCTTTAAAAAGGTCAATAATATACATAGTCTTAAGAAAAAATATCTAAAAATCACATACAAATAATACTATTAGACAGAAAAGGAAAAATAATAGAATTATAGCATTAATAATAATAAAATAATAATACTATAAATACTAAATTAAACGAATTAAATTACAATAACATTTCAACAAATAACCATAAGGAAAGGCAACTAAAAACGAGAATTTTCTGCATAATATTTCAGGAATCTTAGATTTTTTTTTACCAAGTGATGACGCAATAATTTATTAGTGGAAACTGCTTTTGAACAGTTCAGTGAATCTAACTGTTCGTAAGAACCGATTCGTGGGCACGACTTCCCATAACTAGACTCGTTAACCGGAGTTCAAGATGGCGACCAGAGAGCTGCTAATATCGCAACTAATCGATCATTAACATAACATCTGAATCCTCGTATTACTTTAAACTGTACCAGTTATGTCAACATTCCTCATCGGCTTCGTATATATTACAAAAGCAGTGGATATCCGACACTAGTTGTGTGAACAGAGACTGTGTGTGTTGTTGTTTTTAGCTTACGTCAAATAGAAATAGTTGCTGAGCAGCTTTATGAAACTATTTGGAATGATTGGAAAGTTTTCATTAGTTTGGAGGTCAACATGTCGCTAAGAGAGCTGAAAGTATGCCTTCTTGGGGTAAGATTTCTTTCCCACTTTTTATGACTTGACGTTGCTATGGTGGATTGCATATTTAATGTTTTTATTGCTCCGTTGCTCGACTAACACAGCGTTATTGCTGGCTTTAACTTCCAATAAACCGTGACAGCGTTTTTATTCTGTTGTGAAAGCTTTGGTTGATTTCCAAAACATTACAGTAATATTTGTGGGCTGATGACGTATTAAACCATCCATTCAGAAGAAGTGTACAGTCAATGTTTAGAAAAGTCAGAGAAGTTAACTGTTACTTTTTAATCAGGGGATAACTGGGCTTAACGTTACCTCATCGATTGATAGTAGTTTTGTCAGGCTTTAATTCTTTATGTCAGGTTAATTATAATTCCATTTGACAAAATCGTTCACCTATATTTGACCTACACAGTGCAGCATGTATTAGTACATCCCTCACAAATCTGTCTTTTAAATTCCTATTTTTAATAGGACGCTACAATATTACATTTGTGCATATACATTAGATTAGTAAGTACTAAAGCCAAATCTGGAGCTAATCTAACATAAATACACATTTAAAATAGGAATAATCTAGAGAAAAAAGTTAAAAATTAAGTTTAAATTTTGTAGGTTGTAATTTTATTTAATTGTTTGGTATTTCGATTTCTAAATAAGTTTGTTGACTAAAATATTATTTTAATAAATATCTCTTTTTAATAAATTAATTTTGTTCAAATGCACTAAAACATTGACATGTCATGGGTCATGTAACTGTGAAACAATATAAATGTATAATAAAACCAAT